TCTCTCTCTCTCTCACTTCTTCCCTCTCTCATTGTAGAGATCAGGCCTCTCCGGGAAAGTAGATTCCAGATCTGATGTAGGCATGGTCGTTGTCAAGCACAACCGTTTTGCTGATGGTTCCACCCCTTCTGAAGAGCCACCCCCCGCTCTTCTCCGATTGAGCTCCCCTTTTCAAGTTCTTGGGGTTGAACTCCTTGTTGTGATCATCTACTAAAGATGTCATTTGGTCGCAAAACGATGGGTGTTTCTTGGTCCAAAATTCTTGCAACGCTTCTTGGATCACAAGTGTTCCATCCCCGAGAGCAATAGTAACTGAGTAGTTTGGCGCAGGTGCCTGAGATGTGGACTTCTTCAAGTCCTTGATGGCTGCTTGGAAGTCAGGGAACCCGGGGATGGTGTACTCGGCACTGCGGCACATGGCAAAGAGCTTGTTAGCGATCAGGCCAGACACAAATGAAGCCTCTGACATACTGTGGCACACAGTCGCCACTGCCCACTTCTTTCCTAGCAAAAAGACACCACTATGGAAAGAAGGAATGGACTTTGTCCTGTAGTTGGCAATGTTCCACTTGGCTTCAGACTTGCTGAAATACACTTCGTGTTCCTGAATTGAAACAGCCCCCCTTTTTATCAGAAAATGTTCCCAGATCTATCACTTGTTGAAGTTAAACCAAGTGGAACATTACAACCTTTGGTCTTGTTGTTTTCAAGTCTTTCTCAAATTCCTAACTTCTAATGTTATCTGAGTCGAAGTGCCACGGGCGCATTGGGAAAGAACATGCATGGCTGGCCAGCCATCAAAGCCCATCATGTCGATCACAACTGTGGGAAGCTCAGCGCCACCAGGGTTTGGGTTCAAGCCCTCCAGGACTTTTGAAATGAAGGATATCCCACCACAATACTGCAGGGTTCAGGTTCCAGTGTACAAATTGTTTTTTTGGTCATTGAGGGTGGGTATTATTCTTTGATGAGTTCTTTGATGTTGAACCAATCAGATGAAACTCTATGGAATGTCCTGCCTGCTTCATCTCCTGAACCTTTGTGAAGCGGGTGTCCACTCCATAGCGGTTGTCTGGTCTTGGAGGCTTCAGCATTTGCTGCCGGGGCAACATGCTGATGTCAGTCACCAAAGCTGTTTTCCACAACTTGCTTTTGTGGAAAATGTTGTTTCCTTTGGAGCTGGTCACCAGAAGGATGTCCTGAAACCCCACACGGTTCCCGTAGAGGGTGCTTGGCTCAAACGAAGCCACAGCTTGCTTGACAGTCAAACCCCGCTCCCTCTCCATCAGGATGCATTTCAACCTGTAATTGAAATCTCGCAAGATGGCGTCTGAACAAGGTTCATCTTCGGATTCATGGTCAGCCCCATCACCCTCAATCTCCCCATCACCTGAACTGGTAAATTGATAAAATCAGTGATATTGTTTGTGGTAAAGTAAACTAGAAAGTCAGTGTGAGCATGTCAGTCCCAGAGTTTGTTCCCAGGGTATGCGCCTTCAACTTCATCCTTGCAGAGTTCCTCATCGTCGGGGGCCTTCACCTCAGACCTGGGTGGTTCTAAGTTTTTTTTTTTTTTTTCAGACATATGTTGATGATTGTTTGGCAGAACTATTATGAATTTTGGTTTGTGGCTTAGTCCCTGGCTTTACCCCAGATCTCAGGTCTCCAGCGCGGTTGGGAAGAACTACCACTGCCATGAAGCTCTTAGTGTTTCCATGGGCTAAAGTTGTTATTTGGTACAGCGCAAACTGCATTTTGGCAGTGCTCAGGACACCTTGGGTAGTGAAGTTCACATACGCTACAGTGCACTCGTGTTCCACTCGTCGAATGCCTGCAGCCATCCCTGCCAACACTTTGCTCAACCATGGCTGAAGTGAGGCTTCCAGCAAACCACTGCAATCAACGTCCGCCTCTGGACCTAGGATCAATAGGATCAAGGGGGCTCTTAGCCATGTTCATTCAAGAATCTGGTGGATGATAGGTATATAGGACCATGAGGTTTCATGGTGCTAACATCATCATGGCATTCATTTGCTGCAAGGGTACTGGAAAGAGAGTTTTTTCTTCGAGTGGGCGGCATTATTCCATGTCGGTGCCACTTCACTGATCGTGTTGTTCACTAGCTTCCATCCAATTTGATGCATTTTCTGACAAGGTCAGAAAGAGAAAAGCCAACACTCTGAACTCTTCAACCCTCAACAAGTAACACACACACACACAGTTTGACTTGGTCAAACTGAGTTGAAGAATCAGTGTCACTCCAAGAGATGCTCAGGCCTCCAGCTGTCCAACGATGGCCGCGCGCGCACGAGCTTCATCGCCCGAAGAGGCGAGCAAGTGCCGACGATGCAACAATTGGTCTGATTCCAAGTTTGTCTTAAATAGGTTGAAGCCAGCATTCAGGCTGGATTGGAGGGCCGAGCTGATGTTGCTTTGGGCTCGAGAGAGTTCTTCTTGTTGAACTTCTCCCTTCGCTTCCAAAACGAAGGACAGCTTTCTGAAATCCCAACCTGGTTCCATGTTCTTGGAGTGTGCCCTGAGTTCTGAGTCCAATGACCTGGGCCCAGTCAGGAGCGGTTTGTAGTTCACCTGCAGAACCAACCTGAATACAATACACCCCACATGTATTTTAGTTTCATCATAGTTGCATAGAACAATCTCAATAGAACACTGTGTGTACTCTTTGCTTGCTAAGGAAAGATATGTGAAGACAACCTGCACATTCTTTACCACCAGAATCCACCAGAGAAAAAACTTAGACCCATCTAATAAGTGTGGCAAGGCGTTTTGTACACGGGTCTTGGAAGGTTCCAGGGATTTTGTACACAGGTCTTGGAAAGTTCCAGGGATTTTGTACACGGGTCTTCGAAAGTTC